GCGTGGATATTGCCGCACCACATTATCCCGACTTTAGGCAAGTGAAGCTGCAATCCAGCTCCAGCTCGATGGACGTGGACGCGAGCGCAGATGCACCTGTGAGGAAGGTGTACACGCTGCTTCGAGAGTAGAAGCGTACCACGGCCGGCGTGCATCATGTCTTGCAACCGCTTATCACCTTCTTGAGCCCCTTCTTCACCCTCTCCGCGCTCCTCGACCTCCACTGGACTCGTCATTCGTTCTCTTTCTCCCCCTGTCTCCATAGTACCTTGAGCTGAAAATTGCATCCAACTATCTGCTTCGCACGCGTTGACATACGTGCGTTCTCTGAGCTGAGCGCGATTTTGCAATCGGCTCAATCGACCGCAAGGGTCTATGATGTTGGCATCGTCTTTCGTCGTCTGTCTCATGGTTGTTCGACGTGATCTCACTTGGATATGTGCACGCGACACTGCGTCCTTACGGTTGTCCGACGTAACCTCACTCCCACGTGCCAGGTTCACCAACTACAATCCAGGCCAGACTGGACAATGGGCTTTCATCGACTGAGACCATTGAATACCTCGAAGCACGACGCATATTTGCATTCTGTCGAGCGGCTGCGTAGTAGTAGGTGCCGCAAGGCTGTCAGGCCGTCAAGAATCAACGTCAACATCGTCATCACGACCATCCTTGTAGTCCAGTGCTGCCACATGTCGTGTGGCAGCACTGTGGCGCGTCGTAGGGTGGTGAAGGACCAGCAAGCCGGGTGGCTCGGCCAGAAAAGGAAACTGTCTCAAAGGCCATGCAGGATGGCAGTGGTGGTCCAGAACACCGTTCAGGAGAAGACACAACAGCAGCGAGAAGCGGGCGAGAGACACTCTCTTGGACTTGCCGATGGCACAGCGCTTGAACGGAACTTGCTAAGAGCGCGTGCGCGGGATTGAATTCTATTGAACGAAGCGGGATATGCATTTTCCCCGAAGCAAGCGATAACCTGCCCGCGAGGGAAGAGAGGGTTGAGGGGAACGAGACATGATCGTGAGGGAGAATGTTGCGACAGACATGATAGGCCGGAGCAGCGTCTTGATAAGCGACGAGATCCTACCCGTGAAGAGGAGAGGCGGGGTTAATACATTATGCGGCAGCAACGGGGCGACGTTTCTCTTGCGACTCGACATCTTCGTTCGTCTCGGGCTTGCGATGCCTAAACGTGGTTGTGGCGAGCACGAGGAGGATGAGGAGAGCGGAAAAGGCAACAAGGATGTAGTAGCTTTGACCAATGCCGATGGCCAAGGCTTGTCGTTCAGCGAGTGCTGTGTCGCCGCCAGCGGCAGCGATTCTCTCCGGTGTAATGTACTTTGGCTGGATACTGTCGCTGGCCAAGGCTAGAATGGCAATGCCGATGCCTGAACCGACCTGGACAGCACTGTTGAAGATGGCGCCTACAACACCTTCCATGCCGCTGGGACACAGTTCCATGAGACTGATGTTGACAGGGGCAAAGCAGCTGGCCATGCCCAGGTTGCCGATCAGGAAGCCGGGCACGATGAGTCTGGCGTAGTCGCCCGAGTCGCGTGCAAAGGACATTAGCAGCGCACCTGCAACCATGAGCAGCTGGCATACGGGCATCGTGTATCGGACGGGGACGTATTTGATGACGAAGCCGCTGCTGAATGATGCGAGGAGGCCCATGAAACCGAGTGGAAGAAAGTGTACGGCGGTTTGGATGGGTGTCCATTGAAAGACGTTTTCGAAGAGGTAGGACGTTTGGTAGACCAGACTGTTGAACCAAAAGTACAGACTAAAGGCCACACCGACCAGCACGCTGAATTGCAGAGAGAACAGCGATGGAGGAATGACGGGATACTTGACCTTGTGCTCGACCCAAACGAAGCAGAGCAGCAACGCGATGCTGATGAGCAGTGGCGCGAGGATCGTGGCGCTGGCCCAGCCGTATGTTGAGGCGCCAGCAAAAGCAAAGGTGAGAAGGATGATGCCAAAGGTGCCAGTCGTCACACCCGGGACATCGAGTCTTGCCCATGTGAACTTTTGCTGAGGAGGTACGTGGACAAGGACAAAGATGGAGGCAATGCCGGCAGGAATGACGCAAATGGCGGTTACGTAGAAGATCCATTGCCATGGCACATATGCGGTGATGACGCCTCCGATGATGACGCCGAGCACATTTCCAATGCATCCGGCTGCTGCAAAAATGCCGAAAGCGACCGTGAACAGTTTGCCTTGGAAGTGAGCTGCGATGAGGCTCATGGCGCTGGGGATGGTGAGCGCGGCACCAATACCTTGAATGGCACGAAAGACGAGGTGAACGATGGCGTCGGGTGCGACTGCGGCGATGATCGCAGCGATACCAAGCACAAAGTAGCCGATGCAAAATGTGATTTTAGCTCCAATCATGTCGGACAGGCGGCCACACAGGAGCAAGAGGCCAGCAAATGAAAGCGCATAGGCGGACACGACCCAAGGTCTTTGTGAAGGTCCCATGTCGAGGTCGGCGGCGATGTCGGGGAGACCAATGGTTGGGGCAGTAACATTGACAATGTCCCAAAATTGACTGAAGCAGAGGAGGAACAGGATCGTCCATTTGCGCAGTGGTGCGAGTTCCACTGTTACGGGAGCTTCATCTTGGCTCGACGGTGGCGTAACATTTCCATCTGTGGAGTTGTTCCACCCCTCCTTGTTGCGGTATGTGGATGAAGCCTGTGAGTTGGTGTTCGAATCGTGTACAGTCTCGGCGCCAACATTCAATGCCGCCTTGGTCGAACCCTCCTGGGTCAGGTTTACGCTGGTCTGGCTCATTTTCGCTTAAGCTAGCCGAATGTCTGGGGGATATAGGGGCCCAAAGGAGACGCGAGTTTGAGGCGGAGTAGGCGACGGATGCACGGGGTCGGCGAAGCGTGTATGGAGGTGACCTGTGCGACTTGCGTAGGTCGAGGAGTTGAAGGGGTGGCTGATCATCGTCATCTTCTCGCGACCGTGCTTCTTATAACCTTGTCGCAACGCAGTGCGAGAGGTCAGTGCCTACACTAGGCGATGGCGACTGGGCAAAGAAGCGACGAAGCCTTGACGCTTGGTCCTCCGAGATCTTGCTAGCGCTGTGACGTTTGCTGAGCCCAGGTGAGCGCGTTGGCAGCATCGGAGAAACCAGGCAGAAGTCAAGCGGAAATGATGGGTGAGGGTGAGGCAAGGAGACGAGAGGAGACATCAGCTGAGGCCGAAGCATGTGCCCGGATCGGGACGATCCGCCGGCACAATAGCAGAAAAAAAATCTATCACGAGGCAAACACAAGGGCAGGCTGGGCAAAGGCGAGATTGACGTATGGTCACGTAGACATCCATCTCCGTGCAAGTCTGTCGTCAAGCTCGCGTCCTTGGTGCCGTAGCGGTAGTAGTAGTAGTGAGTGAGATGTGTCGTCTTAGCGTATGTGCGTCCGTGCGTCCGTGCGTCCGTGCGTCCGTGCGACCTGGCATGTGTAAGCGCTTCCTAGTGTCCTAAGCGCTTTCCCAAAGCGGACGATAAGTCAATGTCAACCTGCGCATTCGTGCTACAATCTTGATTGCTGCAACGAGTCCTAAGCGTGCCGGCCGCTTCTCGAGGCCTCTGCAAAGTTTAAATTCGTTGGTTGCAGCACAGTCGTAATTCACTCACTATATCCGACTAGGCCTGCCTTGCCTGCCTGCATGCCTGGCGGGGTTTCTTTCTTGCAGACGGACATCAGTGTGGTTTCCATGTCATCCTGCTTTTGATCTATCCGGGCAGCATGCATGCGCGCATCACGTGGCTTGCGCTCGGCCCACAGTCAAGTCCGTGGCTGTGGGTGGCAGGCACAGCAGGTGACCCCCGCTCTCACAAGTCATCGAGTTTAAATGCCCGCATGATGATAAGGATAGTCGCGAGTTGAGCGCAACTTTAATCATTCCCGCGAGATGTCAGCGGCGGAGTGTCACTCGCGCATGTGCCGTCTGCATCATGCAGGCTACATGCACGATTGCCTCACGCGACAGCTTCAATTCGACTTTTGTTCACGTGTTTGTGATCGGCCATGGCATTAAGAGTAGCGCTGGCCCAGCCCTGTTCCTCTTCTTCAGATGCAGACGCGCGCAAACGCAAGTTGGCCGTTGGCGTTGCATGGTTGGCCTTGCTGAGCGCTAACTGCTGGCGCCAATGCCATGCGCCCGCCATGCGCCGGACGCTGATGTTGCGAGCTTTCCTCTTTTCACAAAAGCCAAGTTGAAGTTTGTGATTGGCAATTCAGTGAGCAGCTCGGATCCTTCTCAGTTTCGACGGCCTTCGAAACGAAATAGAACAGGCAAAGAGACAATCATTGTGTGCCAAAAAGCTTGGCTTTGTAGACAGTCACATCTCATTCGTCACCATGGAGCACGACCACGAGGCGATGATCGATGGGCAGATGGATTTTGATTGTCCCACGCCTGGCGCTCGCCGTATTCTGCCTGTCACGTGACCACCGCATGCACGACCCCTAAGCATAAGCATGTACATACTTCTACGGCATCACAGTGATCCACCCTTCTGCTTCAATACACTCATCATTCCTCGCGACGGCTGCGTGCACACACTGATGCGAGATTGCGATAAGCGGAGGTCTCGGCGGGCGCTGACGCGGGTAGCGGTGCGGATGCGGATGCGGATGCGGGCGCGGGCGCGGGCGCGGGCGTATTATAGGCACAAACGTTCACGTACGCACGTGTGCTGCGTTTGGCTCGCCGCATCTCCGTCCTCCTTCCTGCCCGTTGCCTGTAATTGATGCGCATCGATTCGCGATTTGCAGAAAAATTCAGTTGTTCGGTCGGCTCCAAGCTCACCCACCGCGCTTTGACTCTCTTCTGACGGCATCGACACACGCACCAAGTCACTGCGCCGCTACGTCAGCTGAGTTCGACATTGCGCCTCCGCGCCCCATCGCGTCACCGCCTCTCGACTTCAGCATCCGTCCAGTCATGTCTCGATGCTCCTTCGCTCCAATTTCTCCTCCTCGGCCCCGAGATAGCTGCATCGCCTTGTTCCTTGCCCCCACAAAAAGGATGCTGCATGACTCACGGAGGCCGATGCGTTGCAAGAAAGGTGGTAGACTACCGAACGCCGAGCGTAGTGGTGGATGCCCTCGTCGCTACACGCCGCATCGCGTCGACCGGCTGTCAAATTGATCAGTCGACCCCGTCCTCCGTCATTGAGCCGTAAACATCGTCAGCCCATCTCAGCACGCCCAGAGTATATATAGCTCGGCTGACCAGCTGGCTGCGGCAAGGGACGCGAATGTATTCATCTTTGCCCGTGCCTGATCGCGCTGAGAAACGTCCTCGAGCTACTCTGCCAGTCCACACTCCGTATTGCTCTACGGGAGGCTGCTAGCACATCGTGCCAAGGCACCTCTCTGCTAACCCTTTGCTTGTCGCGGGCTTTTTCCGCTGAAAGATTCATCTCGCTAAACTGCATCCAGGGAGCTGCGATTCGATCTTGCGTCATGCCAGCTCTCATTGAAAAGCCCATCGATACAGCAACAGCTCTGGCTCTGCCACACGACGATCGGCCTTCGAGCGTCTTTGTGGGCAACTTTCTGCTGCATCGCCTGCGTCAGCTTGGGATCGGCACAGTCTTTGGCTGTCCTGGAGATTTTACATTCGGCATTTGCGACCTCATCGACGACAATAGCGGTCTGGAATGGGCGGGCAACGCCAATGAGCTAGGCGCCGCCTACGCCGCAGATGGATACGCTCGCGTAAGCTCGTGCGGTTTTGCAGCCGTCGTCACCACTTGGGGCGTGGGCGAACTTAGCGCGCTGAATGGTCTCGGTGGTGCGTACGCGGAGCGCCTCCCCGTGCTTCACATCGTTGGCTCTCCTCCACGCGCACAAGTAGCCAAGAAGCTGCCCATCCACCACAGCTTCGCCAACGGAGACTTTGACAGCTTCTCGAACATGTCGAGACCCATTTCGTGCGCGCACGAGCAGCTCACTGGCGACGCGTGGTCAGACGCAGACAAGATTGATCATGTGCTGAGAACGGCGATGAAGGAGCGCAGACCGGCATACCTCAACATACCAACGGATGTCGTGTTCGAGCTCATTCCCCGTCAACGCCTCGCCGTTCCCTTGAGCGCGTGGCACTACCCAACCTCAGCCGATGGAATCCTTCCGTCGACGCCGCCCCAGGAGGAGGCCTTGGCCATCGCACACCCGCCAAGCTCGGCTCAGATCCAGGCCTGCGTGGGCCAGATTCTCCGCGTGCTTTCCACGGCTGCAGATCCTGTGGTCATCTTGGACGTCAATCTGATGCGATTTGGCCACACCAAGCGCGCGCGCAAGTTGGTCAACGCGCTTGGGCTGCCCACGTTCGCTGCTCCTCTCAGCAAAGGTCTGATTGACGAAACGTCACCCCTGTTTGGGGGAACATTCGTCGGTGCCAGCACCCTTCCGCACATCAAGGAGCGGCTAGACCAAGCAGACATCATCGTCCGCATTGGTCATCTACGATCCGATACCAATACAGGAGGTTTCTCCGCCGACATCGGGCCAGAGAGGCTGCTGGACATCAATCTTGATTGCGTCACTTTTCCCGCAGAGAATGTGCATGTCGCCCAGACGCGCGCGGCTCACAATTTGGATTTAGCAAGCATCATTGCGGACCTTACAAGTCAAGCCGAGCTGCTTCGCAAAACATCGAGTGCCTTGGGAGGAGGCAAGCCATCGCGCCTCATTTCTGACTCTGAGGATGCCACCGTCTCCTCCAAGCTCGCTCTGTCTCGTCCCCCTCTCGATGGTCTGAAGCTGCCCCTGGAGCGCACCCCGCTTACGCACAACTACATGTGGCCTCGTTTTGGCGAGTTTTTTGAACAGGACGACATTGTCGTCGTGGATACTGGAACAGCATCTTTCGGCATCACAGACGTCCGACTATCAAAGAACTGTAACTTGGTATCGCAGATGCTCTACAATTCCATCGGCTGGTCCACCGGCGCGGCTGTCGGTGCAGCAGTCGCAGCGAGGGAAGACTACAATGCACGCGTCAGCCAGGCCCAGGCGCAGCAGGATCAAGAGGCAGCTTCGGGCATCAAGGAACCGCGTGTGGTGCTCATCGTAGGCGATGGAGCTCTGCAAATGACGGCGCAAGAAATCTCCACCTTTATCCGCCTGGATCTCAAGCCGCTCATCTTTGTGCTCAATAATTCCGGCTACACCATTGAGCGTGCGCTGCACGGTCCGCATCGCGATTACAACGGCATCGTCGACTGGAGATATGCCGATTTGGTTCGCACGTTTGGCGCGCACGAAGACAGGCACCGCTCGCACATTGTAGAGACCGTCGCTGACTTTGACGACGTTCTACAACGCTTGGCGAGCGACAAAGGCCAAAACACTCCGAACGTCTTGTCTATCGTCGATGTGCGCTTGGACAAACTCGACGCGCCTAGGATTCTCGCAGCACTGGGCAGCATCTCTCAGGCGCGCAACGCGTGAGTGATGAAAGCTGGTGGACCGTCCCGCCGTGTCCTTTTTGGCTTCTTTTTCCCGAGTCGCACGCCGCTTACCCTCTTGTTTCTTTCTGATGCTTCTTCGCCATGCCTACAGCTACGGCTACGCGCCCGAATACAACCACTAGAGCAGCGAACAGCGAACACAGCAGCAAGATGGGACCTACATTTCATCCATCCACTCTACGCGCCCACGCTTACCTTACCCCACCATACACGGCTTTCGCCCACGCTCGATCTAGTCTGCCCTCCTTGTTCCACACGCGCACCTGACTCGTACTCACATATGCGAAAGCCATCCCCTCGACTCCTACATCATGTTGTAGACACGTTCTGAATTTTGCTGCCGAGCAATGGAACAATCCTACGCTTTGCAAATCCAGACGTCTGCCCAGTGTGCGAGTCTGGCACTGGCAGACAATGAAGGTGGGTAACGCAACGCAACTGACTGCAAGATGGACACGGGTTCACTCGATCATAAGGTCATTCGACGAGGGGACCACACAGGACGTGCTACCGCCTGACAGTCACAAGTGCCCCTGCACACGCGTTTGCGGGCGGCCTGGACGTGGATATGCTTGGTGTGAATGAGTGAGTGATGCAAGCAAGACGAGGAACGTGACGTAAAGGTGAGGTACGGCAATGTGCGGTCGCTATGCACGATTCACGATTGCGGCTTTTCGCCACGCATCGCCGCAGCGCGCGACAGCAGCGCGTTGATGGTTTTCCCGCAGCGTGCATGAATCACAATCTCGGAGAAAGCGGTGGGTGCCACAGCGACTTCCGGTCTGCGCTGCGCGTATACGCGTGTCCGTGTAATTGCACAGTCCGCCTCTGCACCAACCTGCATCCACTCACGCACGGCTGCACCACCATCACACACACAACCCATTCACCACGGTCAAGTCCGTTCCACGTGTCATTGCGCATCGCAAGGGCGAGTGTAAGCGTGAGCGCGGTGCCATGAGACACGCCAGCGACAGAAGACTCGAATCTTGGTCTCAGCGCGCGGAGAGGTGAATGCGGGCTTACTCGCAAACGCTGTCTGCTTAGATCCATCCGGCCAAACCTCCCTACTCCACAAGCTTCTCTCCCTTTGCAGGCCCGCACCCCCACTGCGACTGGCTCTGATGCTACGTGACCGGCTCGAGCGACGTGCTGTCTTGCACCGCCTCGGCCTCCACCTGTCAGCTCGTCGCTTGGTGCACGATGAATATAAAGGAGCTTGCCGCTGACGAGGCGACAGCGTTCCCTCTCCCTCATTCATTTGCACCTCGTAATTCTGCAGCAAGCATTCACGCAGCCAGCATTAGCATATCTGCGTCCTACACTTACAGTCTACGCCTGCAAGTCTGTTAGAAAGGAAGGCCTGTGCATTTCACTGAACATCGCAAGACGTCTGCGATCCCTGCCTGGCACGTATCGACCCGCTCCGAGCGCACGCGAAAGGACACGTACGGCAACATGTCACCTACCGCCACTACAACTGCAAAGCACGTTGCACTCACAGGCGCAAGCGGCTTTGTAGGAGCGCACGTGTTGCGCGAGGCTTTGGCGAGCGGCTACCAGGTGCGCTCGATTGTGCGATCGGAGAGCAAGGGAAAAGAGCTGCAACGACTGTTCCCATCGCCGCGCCACACGCTGGCATATGTGAGCGACATTCGCAATGCGGACGAGCTGCGCGAAGCCTTCCGAGGCATCGATGTGGTGCAGCATGTTGCATCACCGTACACACTCAAGTTTCAGGATGCTGAACGCGACATGTTGCAGCCTGCCATTGACGGTACGCTTGCCGTGCTCAAAGCAGCGCACGATACGCCATCGATCAAGCATGTGCTCATCACATCCAGCTTCGCAGCGCAGAATTGTTACGAAAAGGGGGGATCGATCCGCGACTATACGTACACGGAGAAGGACTGGAATCCTGCATCGTACGAAGACGCAAAGAAGTCGGACAATAAAGTGTACACCTACGCCGCCTCCAAGGGCTTGGCCGAAAAAGCAGCTTGGCATTTCGTCGAATCTGCAAAGCCGCAATTCGTCCTGACCACTTTCATGCCGCCTGGCATCATCGGACCGATCGTGCACCCCGTGGCCAAGATGGAGGATCTCAACACAAGCTGCGCAAATGTGTGGAGCGTAGTGTCCGGCGCCGCGGGCGGCGTACCTCCTACACTGCTGCCGCAAACGGTGGACGTGCGCGATGTGGCAAAAGCGCATGTGGAAGCCATGTCTCACCCCGAAAAGTCAGCCAATCAGCGTTTCTCTCTGTGCGGCTACTACATGGATTGGCAGCTCGTTGTTGATTTCCTCAAGTCGCGCTTTCCCGAGCACGCCAGCACCCTCCCCACGGGCACTCCAGGCACGCCTAATCAACCTGGACCTGTGGCCCAGCTGGACAGCGCAAAGGCCAAGACCCTCCTGGGAATCGAGTGGACGCCTTGGCAGGATACATTTGCCGACCTCACGTCGCAGTTGTATCAGCTTCACGAGAATGTCAAGGCGGGCAAGTCGGCTTTGTGAGGTGGTGCGCCAGCCCAGCCAGCCGTTTGGTGCTTTTTCCCTTGGGCGCCGCAAAATTTCCCCTCTGCTCGTCCCTCCTCATTAGCACAATGCATGCCCATCAGCACTGCTCGCCCGAGTGTGAGCATGATGAGTATAGCACGTGTAGCGCAGTCCGCCCGCTACTGAACATGATGAATGTTTTACTCGAGTGTGCTTGCCTTCGTGTCAGTGTTTGGAATGAACTCAAGTGTGCCTGCCTTCGTGTCAGTGTTTGGAATCAACTATCCATGACCCCACCATCGGTCGGCCGCGCGCAGACGTTTGGCTTGCCGCGAACGGGTGTAATTACAATTTCTGTCCCATGCGTCGTGGATGACCGATCGAGACACGATCATAGACGCTCGTTGCCGCCGCAGCAGCTCGAGTGATCGACAAGCTTCTCATAGACATAGACCGCGAAGCACGCGCAGCAAGCAACGTATATGCAAAAGGAATACCGACTCGAGTCGAGCTGCAACGTATATGCACAAGGAGTACCGACTCGAGTCGAAGGGCAACAAACAATGATGAGAACAAATGCATCTATTTCCATGCTGTTGGGACAAGCAGGACAAGCGACCCTCGAGCGTCTTGGGTAAACGACCGTGCAAACAAAGGCGAATCCTCGTCGTCATCGAGGCGATCAGATTTGAGGGTGGAGCAAGTCGGCAAAGTAAGACTCGGCAGAGTGCTGGAACTCTTCCAAGGTGGATTTGGTGCCTAGCCACAGGTCCGGACGGACGATAAAGGCACGCTCCCGCGGTGCGTCCGACGTCTTCTCGGCTGCAGTCCCGAACAAGCTGCTGGCTCTGCCTTCATCTGGCTGATCGTCTAGGTGAATTTCGAGATAGTGGTGCAAAGGATGGGCGTCGTCTTTGCTGGACGTCTCCTGGTGGGTGCCGGTAGCGTTGTGGGAGAGCGCTTGCTTGAAGCGGAGGGCAAGCGCATCCAACAGCGCACGGTCGCGCACATTGTGAGCATCGAGAATGAGGTGCATCTTCATCAATCTCGCTTGGCCTGCTTGTGCATTTGCGAAGCGTGTACGGAAAGATCCTTGCTTGGCAAATGCGTCGAGCGCATCGCACACCAATGGTCCCAGGGATCCAGACATATCGCCGCCCAGAAGGACGATGTTGAAGCAGGGAAGAGGGGCAAATGAGTCGTACAGCCTCTGTACGGCGCCAGTGCGAGGGTTGAATAATCTCGGGTTCGGCGTACGGTAGCCAATCATGGGCGAGGCTTGAGGCGACGCGATTGCCTGCTCCGCCCGCTCCGTGCGAGCTGCGTCAGATTCGCCCGATGCAAATCCTTGCATCTCGTCAAACTTCATCTTCTGAATCTTCCTGCTCAGATTCACGTCCGCCCTCTTGACATCTAGAGCTTGGTACTTGGACACCATGCCGGAGCTTTGCCACGGCTTATTGAGCGTACTGGGCTTGTACAAAATGTCCGTGCCCGTGAGCAGGCCCGTGTATGTGCGAGCATACCAAGAAAAGAAAGCTTGATCGGGATCCATGCTCTGGTCACCTTCTTGCGGGATGAATTGCGGAGCTTCGATTGAAGCAGGATCCTCCCCGGCCGCGATGGCAAAATCCTTGGCGAAAGTGTCGGCACCGCGCGCACCGCACAGGAAGCGCAAGAAGCAGCTGGAAGCCTGCACGATGCGCTTGGCGGTCGCTCGGCGCTCGACGCTGTACGAGTCGATGATGGCAGGTTTGGAGATGCCCTTGGCATCGAGGATCACCTTCCAGGACAAGTTGTGACTGTCCATGCATCCAGTGTTCAGACCATATGCGCCCGCCGCACTGTGACAGTGGGCCGAGTCGCCGGCCAAGAACACACGTCCGTCTTGCCCATCGTGAAAGGACCGGGCGACGCGCTCGTTGATCTTCCACATGGTGTACCATTCGATCGGACCTTTTGGCTTGACGTAGTAGGGGGCAAAGACATCGTTGATGCGCTTCATCGCCGTGTCAACGTTCTCCACGTTGGGATCGGGTGCTTTGCCGTCGGCGCCAGGGAGTACCCGGACGTACAGTCTACTCATATTGTTCTCCCGCGGAATGATCAGAACGCCGCCGTGCTCGCTGCTGAGCACGCAGCCAAAGACCCATGCATGGGGAAAGTTGGTGTCCCACTCTGCGTCGACAATCTGCCAGACGAGATTGGTGGTGACGCCGTCGAAAGGAATGGAAAGGCTCTTGCGGATGGCAGAGTGCGCGCCATCAGAGCCTATGAGGTAGCGAGCTCGGCACGAGCCAGACGCTCCTGTCTCGATGTTGGTCCAGTCAAGGGAAATGGTCGACTTGCCCGTGTGGTCCTTCTCGCCCTCGAGTACGTAGCGGTCGAGCGTGGTGCTGCGGTCGACGTAGCACCCGAAGCGGGCAATGTCGCGGATGAGCAGCCGCTCCACCTCGGGCTGTGTGATGACCTGCAAGTACTGGAACTCGGACGGGCTGGCGTGACTGGGTCGGAAAACGAGACACTTTCCATCCTTGTACAAGATGGTATGATCGATGAGCGGACCTGTGGCTAGCAGCTCGTTGAGCAGGCCGAGCTGCTTCATAATCTCCAATACGCGAGGCTGCACGGCATCAGCGCGACCAACATCCAGAGAATCGGCAGCTTTGTCGACGATCTTCACTGTGAGGCCACTACGCAGCATCTGCGACGCAGTGATCAGACCGACGGGACCCGCTGCGGATGTCGGGTAGTAGATGCGCAGAAGGACAAAAGTCAGCACTATCATGCTGTTGCCCGCGAGGTCATCTAGGCCAACTCACCACCGCAGATGACCACGTCATATTCGGGCACCTCGCTTTCGACCCCAGCAGGATCGTCACGAGTTGCGAAAGGGATATCTTGAGAGATGAGGGCGGGCATCGCGGCGCGGCTCAATCTACTTGCCACTGTCCTGTCCTGTCCAGATAGATATCTGGCTTTACCTATGCACGTTGTGCGCGTTGTCAGACTGATGAAGGATGCCCGACTGCGAGCTAGAGAATCTGCCAGATTGTGGTGGGCGCACAGTAGCCAAGAGCTAACGTTTGAGTGTGCGTGCGCAGGACAAAGGGAAGAGCTTGTATATCGTCTAGGAAATACAGCGATGATGATGAGACGGGGGTTATTGACAGGCTCGAAGGATGCGCATTCCGACATTTATTAGCTTTGCGACGGTAAAGTTGGTCAGCATCCCTCATCGAGGCAGCTCTGGCAGCGTGACGCCGCAGAGCAAGGGGCAAACAAGGCATGAATTTGGCGACACCCATGGCGCATCTTGACAAATGCGATACATCTGCCACTCACAACTGCGACCTTGGCTACAGCTTGCCACTCGCAGCGAGATGGATGCTGTCCGGAGCAGCTCTGGTCCGTGAGGCGGCGAATCGGCGCGTTTGCATGGCGACGACGACGACGATGATGGCGGCGGCGGCTGCGGCTGCGGCGGCTGCGACCAACTCCGGCGCTCGCTGGTGAGAAGGAGAAGAGCTGTAAGACTCACACTTGAGCCTGGCCGCGTCGATGTCGGCACGCGTCGATGCTGGGCGGGCGGGCGCGGACGTGGAGGTGGGCGGGAGCGCGAGCGTGACCGCGCGTAGCCTTGCCTTACTGGCGAAACAAACACCATGGAAAGAGTGCTGCGCGCCGGCTTATCCGTTGCGCCGCCTCTCTTTTTTTGCATCTCAAACTCGCTGCAGTTGGCGGACATTAGTCACATCACACGCATGACGGACGTGGCCCATGCCCACGCCCACGCCCACGCCCACGCCCACGCCCATGCCCACGCCAACAAGAACAAGAACAAGAACAAGGGAGCGCGGCCGGCGCATGGAGTTCCGAATGGATGTCGCCCAGCCGACAAGTGTGCGCATACACCCACACCTCTGCAACGGTGCGTGACTGATGAATGAACGAAATAAGAAATGATGGTATGGATGCAATCATGTCCGCCGCGGAGATGAGTGTGGGTCCATGCAAGCGCCGCACCACAGCAGGCGGATCCGAGACTCTGACTGCTGCATGTTAGGCAGGTCATGCATGCAGTTTTGAGTGCATGCCCGCGCAGCTCGATTGCATCACGTGACTTGCAATGCACAACCCCCAACGCCGACGCGGCTCGCCGCGCTCATGCGGCTCTCCTCCCGCGCCATTTGGCGTGAGCGTGAACACATCTTCATTCGATTCTGATTGGCGCTGCATCTTGCTGAATCAAGTCCTGTGCGAGCCTGTCTCGGCAATGACCGTGACGAGCAAGGCAGCGCGCTGCTTATACCGTTGTGGATGGTAGCGCATTGATGGCAAGCTGCACGGGGGCTTTCAAAGTTTACGCACGAAATCGTTGGCTTCGCGTCGGTGGATGCACTCACAGTGATGATTGGCACAGTCACTAGTGCAAAGACATTCGAGGATAGGAACAGTAGAGAAAGAGATGCAATTGGAAGTAGGGGGCAGAGAGTCATCGAGGATCTCAAACATGGAACACAAGCGGGGAGATTCGAACGAAAACGGCTGCTCTGAGACGCTTGGGGACTTGTGGTGCGTGAGAGGAGACGGACAAGCAGGCTCGTAAATCTATAGTGGAGAAATATGGAATACACTTGACTGGATTTCATGCTGGCGCGCTTACTTGCCAGGGGAACCGGGCGCCGAGGAGGCAGCTGAGACAGGCGCCGAGCTGAGGTGGGCATGAAGATTATCTCCCTCGAGTCGTCTGCTGACCAAAAGAGCCAGGTGAAGACTCTGCTCTGCGCTAAGCCTAGGATCACAAAGGGTTTTGTACGCAGAACCCAGCTGATCCTCGCCTAGTGGAATGCACCCGCCCGTACACTCGGTGACCTTGTCACCCGTCAGCTCGAGGTGCAACCCACCGAGCGGGTTGTGCATGGCATTGTGAACGCTGATGCTCTTCTCGATCTCGCCAAAGATGTCTGCAAAGTCTCTCGTTTTGATGCCCGTCGCCGTAGTCTTTCCGTTGCCGTGGCATGGGTCGCACAGCCAGAGGGGACGGTGCCCAGATGCCTGAACAGCATCGATGAGGGGAGGAAGGAAACGATCGACCTTGTCCACACCCAGCCGCGTAATGAGAGTTACCCGGCCATCCTGATAGTCGGGGTCCAGCTTGTTCAGCAGAGCGACCAATTCGTCGGGTTGCATAGTCGGGCCAATCTTGCAGCCGATTGGGTTTCGCAGTCCGCGCATGAACTCGATGTGCCCTCCCTCCAATTGACGCGTACGCTCGCCTGTCCAAATCATATGCGCGGAAGAGTCGTAATGGTGAGTGGCTCCGGTGACAGGGTCAACCACGCTACGAACACTGGCCTCTTCCAGCGAAAGGTTGAGGGCTTCATGAGAGGTCCACAGCATTTCGCTGCCCATGGCTCGTGACAAGTGGTCCAGGGTGCGAGAGCTAGCCTTGTCGCCGTTACGCGCGGAAGACGCATACAGCAGCAGCGCATCCTCGATGCGCGAGTGGACTTGATGAGCCTTGACGCGCAGAATCTCGCTGTCGATAGAGTCGGCGTCGAAGTCCAATTCCTTGATGGCGGCGTCGAGTAGCTGTTGCTCGCTGCTGAGGCTGCGCAAGTAGTTGATCGTCGTCGAACTATGGAAGTACGCCGAGACGAGCCTGTCTGGGTCGGGTTGCCTGTCGGTGAGGTCCATCCCATTGACAGAGTCGCCGCGGAAAGAGGGGTACTCTTTGCCATCCACAACCTCGGTCAATTTGCTCCTGGGTTTGGCATACTGCCCGGCAATGCGGCCAACGCGCACAACTGGTGTCTTGGCTCCCATGAAGATGATGAAGCTCATCTGCAAGAGGATACGGAGCTGCGCTGAGATGTGGTCCTCCGTGCATTCGTTGAAGGCTGAGCGCAGGGGGGGTGGGGCGTTGATGAAGTCAGCGATTGGATTTCTAGTACTGGCAGATACGGCCGTCGCCTTGGTCGAGCACTCACCCTCAGCGCAGTCACCGCCGTGCAGGAAGAATGCCTCGCCGCGAGCACCTCGAGCATAATCTTCGCGAGCCCGCTCGATCTCGCCGGCTGACACGAGGCTGGGGAGATGCGAAATCTTACTGAGCGCTTTGAAGAGCGCGCCCTGGTCCGGATAGACGATGTCTTGAGTGACAGGCTTGGAGCGCCAGGAAGTTGGGTGCCAGTCTGTTTCTGTTGGCGCGGTGGTTTGAGTCTTCTGCGAATGCTGTTGGCCCGACAGCGCCTTCTTAGTGGACAGCTCGAAAGCCATGTGACCGAGGTCGAGTTTGGGAGGTGCGTTGTGAATAGCCGGCATCGTGTTGCGTCTGCTCAGGTGTGTGGTGTGAGAAGGCGTTGCGTCGTAGTGGCAAGTTGTAAAAGAAGGCTAGATCGGTGCGAAGTGTGTCGTCTATCGTCAAGGTTGGCAAAGCATCTGCCAAGAGGTCAAGATTGTGGGTCGGGGTCGTGCAAGTGAGCTGGGGGACAGGGAATCTCTCCAAGGTCTGCTCCCGACATTTATATGTGTGAAAGGCAGGTAACGGCCCTGGCGACACGCTGCGGACGATGGGCCTAGTGCGCTTGGGCGAGGCAGCTCGGGCTGCTGGCAAGGCGAGCTTAGCCCGGGATAGTTCCGCCGTACGCGATAGGTCCTGACCGCGCCGCTGACCGGTCGGCGGAGCGCACGCCGTAGTGGTCAGGGGGGTGAATGTGGACCCGTGCAGTCCGTACAGCGTTTGCCGTGGGTGGTTTCGATGTACCTGGTGCACTGTGACCGCCCACTTGGCCGTGCCTTGACCCTTCGGCTCACGGCCCCGCCGGTACTACGACGGCGTGCGCTTCGCAAGTGAATCCAGCCATGGAGGCGCTGTGAGAGTCTCGCATCTCATCTCGCTGGCTTGTGCTTTCGTCTGCTGTCGTTTGCCGTTGCGCGTGCCAAACCTTAACTGAGAGCGTCGAATACACGTGTGAGTCGCCATATCCGTTCGCATTCATGCGCCGCGGCCAGTTCAAAGGGAAGATTGCATCACCGCCGGCTCATCGCCACCAGTAAGCCCAAGCTTGGTCCATGGCGATGTGAAACTGAGCTTTGTTTCGTGTTTGAGCACGGTACCGCTCACAGGTATAGTCCTAGTTCTAGCCACTCGAGCGTGACTGTGTTGGACTGATGCAGTCGAATGCGCACGTTGGCGTAGGCGCAGCGGCAAATTCCTGCTTGTTCCAGTTGTATGTAACACCAGCGTGCGTGAGTGCCTGCAGTTCGACTGCTGTATGAGGCAAGTGAACCGCCCTCTGAAGAGATGTGAGATGGACTGGCGGAGCGAATTGGACCGGCCACGTTGGCAGTCATACGCCGTTGAGGCATTTCTTCCCAAGCTTGGGTTTCTCGGGGCAGTTCGATTGAGCCTAGCTTCGCACAAGTGTGCCGCCGCTCTTTCCCCGCCGCAATCAAAGCGCTCTCTGTGACGAATCGGCTGCGGCGAGCAGCGCACGGAGATGGTGGAAGGTGATTTGACACGGAGATGATGGTGTTTCACTGCTTGGATATCACAACAGACTCAGCCGAGGGCTATGTACATCTTGCATGCATGCTGCATGCATGCACGATGAGATAGAGGCACGTTTTCGTCACGTGCAACAGATGCGAAGCAACACGCGGCGCGCACTCAGACTCACAGACTGATGACTCTGGGCTAAAACTTCAGGCATGTTTCCCGCTTTCGCGTCTCCGACCGCCGCGCGCATTCACTTCCGCCCGGCCCTCGCTGCGAACCCGCAACTACGTCCACCTCCGCGCATTGTCTGCAGTATAATTAGTCTATGCCCGCATGATGATCGTGCAAACCAACCGCAACAACTCGTAACTTGAAAGCGATAACATGCGGGCGTGTCACAGTATCGACAAACGTCATGCTGTGCACCTGCCCTCGACCTGCTGACCACCAGTGTCCAGAGCTCTTGCGCTGAGTGGGGCAGAGAAGAGCAAGGCAGGCAGGCAGGCAGGCAGACAGGCAGTGGCGCATCCATCCAACCATTCCGTCCCCGCTTCTCTCTGCTTCCTCGCCGAATGCAGATGCAAGCAGAGCATGGCGAATGGACGTCAATGTGAATGAGGCGATCCGCTTCAGGTGATGCCGTTTGTGAGCCTGCAGAAATATCAGAGCAGCACCGATGGCCGAAGCGCAGCTGCCGGAAGAGATTTACGCTCAGAGGAAGCGTGTATGTCTCTATCTCTGTTCAAGGCACACGTTTTCCTCATAAATGACTGCCTGCCCAAACCAAACTTGCAAGCCGATGTACCATCCCTTGCCTTTCCGAAACCTCTCCTCTTTCAACACACAAGACTCCAACTGCTTCAAGCGTTGCTTCGGCCATTCTTTACAGTCTCAATCGGTGCTGAGCAGCCAGGGCGGAACAAGCATGAGTTCTTTCGGCACACACTTTCGCGTCACGACGTTTGGCGAAAGCCATTGCAGGTCGGTGGGCGCCATTGTGGATGGCTGCCCTCCAGGCCTGGACCTGAACGAGTCTTTGATTCAGACGCAGTTGCGTCGACGAAGGCCCGGCCAGAGCGCGCTCACCACGCCACGTGACGAGAAGGATCAGGTGGCGATTCAGAGTGGTGTGGAGCGCGGCGTGACGCTGGGAACGCCGATCTGCATGTTGGTGCAGAATATGGACCAAAGACCTCACGACTACAAAGACGACACGCTGGACCTCTATCCGCGCCCATCTCACGCGGACTACACCTACCTACGCAAGTACGGCGTCAAGGCTAGCAGCGGAGGTGGACGTAGCAGCGCAAGAGAGACGATCGGCAGAGTTGCCGGAGCGGCAATCGCTGAGCAGTACCTCAAGTTGGCGTACGGCATTGAGTGTGTGGCATTCGTCAGCAGCGTTGGTCCCGTCAAAGTTCCCAAGAATGCTTCTGAGGCCAAGACGCAAGCCCGTATGGCAGCTGCCCTTCAAGCTCCAAGGCTCGAGAATAGTCCACCTCACAGCGAGGAGGAGGAGGAGGAGGAGGAGGAGGAGAAGTCGCGCGCCTACATTCAACGTCATCACAGCGACAAGAGTGCCGCCAGTAAAGTCGATGGCCTGCAATATCCTACCAGCTCTGCGTATCGCGCCTTGCTAGCTGCAGTTTCTCGTGAGCAGGTTGACGCGTCTCCCGTACGTTGCCCCGACGAAGCTACCGCTGCTCGCATGACATCCGTAAGTTTTTGCAACGCAAGCCACAGCAGCTGCTCCCACCCTGCCTTTGCCTTGCGCCGAGCTAAAGACCCAAACACGACACGTGCTTGGCCATGCCTATTGTTTCCCCAGGTCATTGAGGAGTGTAGGGATGCGCACGATTCGATCGGTGGTACCGTCACTTGCGTTCTTCGTAACGTGCCACCCGGCTTGGGCGAGCCAGCGTTCGACAAGCTCGAGGCGACGCTAGCCCATGCCATGTTGAGCATTCCCGCCACGAAGGGATTCGAGTTTGGCTCCGGATTCGATGGGGCTGCCATGCGCGGATCTCAACACAACGACAAATTCGTACCCCACCCCAACGGTCTAGGTCCTACCGGCTCCGCTCTGCGCACAGAGACGAATTGGAGCGGAGGAATTCAAGGTGGCATCTCTAACGGGGAAGATATCTACTTTACCGTTGCTTTCAGTGAGTACCGTCGCATAGTGTCGTTTGCGAGGTTTTGATCGCCACGCCTCAAGCAGCACAGACAGCTGATCATCCTCTGCACGGGACTGTGTAAATCTGCATCTTGCTCGTACAGAACCAGCTGCGACAATCTCTCAGGAGCAAGAAACGGCGCAATACGATGGCAGCTCGGGCGTACTGGTCACTCGTGGTCGACACGATCCCTGCGTGCTGCCCCGCGCTGTCCCCATCGTCGAAAGCATGGCCGTGCTTGCCGTGATGGATGCGCTTATGGGGCAATTGTCGAGAGAAGGTGCTATTAGCTCGCTGAGATCCAGAGAGCTGGACGCGAGACACACGGAAGCGTGGGACGCTTTGCCATCCAGCATGAGATTGCGTTGAACAAGCACAGGCTGGCTGTGATGCGCGTCCCTTTATACAATCCTCTAGATTTCGCCATCGTCCGTGGAAGCTCCCTGTTGTCTCGTGAGAACTGCGATTGCAATTGAAATGTTCACCCGCACAATCGACGCTCGCTGCGCACTGTTCTGAGCGTCGTCCCGTGTGCCAAGGAAGGGAGCACGGGGCCATTTCAGGTGGAGATTTTTCTGTACGTCCGAATGAGAGCAGACCCGATGCGGAAGCACAGGATACGCTAGAGTCGACACTGTGAATGTAAGTAATACGAATACGACTCTACCTCCCGTACACCGCGGCTGCCCACCCTGCGACCGCCTCGATAGTCGCCATTTCAGCGTACGGCTCAGAATGCCCGCACCAATTATCAGAAGAGAGGCGCATTTGTGGCACGTTCCTACATGCTCTCATGTCTCGGGAATTATTGAATGCGCGCAACTCCGAAATAGAATCTGCCGCTTGTCTCGACGTTGTGATCATCTCTCCGGTCAGCATCAGCTTTTGGATCAGGCTACCTTTTTGACTGTGGCGCGCGCGCGAGACCCAAAACATCAGTCGTGAGTCGCGCTAGAGATTGATATGGGTGCATGCAGCAGCAGTCCGGCGTGAAGCGCTAAGGCTACCGTACATGGGTAAAGCATATGGTCGCAGCACGCCAGAGTCTCACGTGAGGGAGACATGTGTATAAATAGGTGAAATATGACGATGATGTCATCTCGTCTACGCCTGCCTTTGACGCCGCTCAGATGCGAGAAAGGGCAAAGGCGAGAGAGAGAGAGAGCGCCGCGGGACGATGCGGAGTCCAGCGCTGGACGATAAGCGCTTGATGGAAATTCGAGATTTCGAGTGCTGGCCGCGATTGTGCTAGCGCCATTTATGCAGTGATTCACGCACGATTCTTGGGTCGTCCGTCGCGCGGCACATTATTTCGAATTGGCTGCGCACAGGACTTGTGCGGACGACTCGCTTGGAATCAAGTCGAGTGCCATAAGTTCGGCGCTGAAAGGCGCTCTTTTCTGCAGCTTCTGGTAAAGTGGTATGTAGCTCTCATGCGTCAGTCCTCTCTACGAGCGACCGAGAAGGGTGTTGAGAGCAACGACTGGGAAGTGAAGTTTCGGCTACAACGTTCGCCGATTCGTAATCATTATGCCGCTGCAAGTCCTGTTGTAAGCCCCGTGCGCTAAGACGCGCTTGCTCGTCCGGAGCATATATGCTCATGTCACGCATGCAGCCCGGCCATGTTGCGCCGTTCCGTGCTTGGTACCGTTGAACGCCATCGTGGATCTCGACGCAGCAGGGCACCCGCGGCGCGGGAGCCGAATGGAAGGTGGCGCGCGGTCACGAAGCCTCCCTCCGATCGATCGTCCTGTACAAATGTGAATGCTGAGCTAGCCTAGCGCTACGCAAACCGCGGTCGGCGCACCGCTCCTCAAATCTTGAAATCACGAATGCTTGGGATGGAACGCGCTACGGCTGCGCCGCGGCACAGCCTCTGGTGAAGCGGGGGCTACTGCGACTCTTGTGACTGCATGTACCTACCTACCTACCTTCTTGACCGTTGACTAGGCCCGCAAGCGTGAATCGTGAATCAGGTCGGCGCTAAAGCTGATGCATACGCGTGCCTGCGACGCCCGACGCCCGACGCCCGCTCCAACACACGCCATCGAGCCTTGACTATGCGCACTCTTGGCCCATGTCAGGTCGCTTTTCACGACGTGATGCCTCTGCTTGCTGAAGTCATACTACTAGACTTTCGCTACTTTGCATTTCCATGGACATCGAGGGTAGAGAGTGGAGATGACGAAGTGGGAATGCAGTCAGTGCAGCAGGGGGAGGCTCAGCGCAGTACCGGTGACAGCAGCATTGAAGCATTCAGCTTTACGATTGATTGAAAGCATCAAAGCATGAGCGAAGGAGCGGCATCGACTTGCCGGCCGGTCCATGCACGCGCGCGCATGTATCGAACGCGTAATAAACGATACCCAACAGTTCGTCCGACTAGGCACACAGTGTGAGTGCTCCGGAGAGTCGATGCGAGTGCTTTCGACTCCGCGTCCACAACTCCGCCCAGGGTGGCGTTTCCTCTCAAACAAAAAAAAGCGCGCTTATCTTTGGTTTGTTCAACATTCATGATTGCGCCTGGCTAAGTAGCGACACGCACAAGGCATGCGTCTCGCGCATTTGCATCCCCATCGGCCGAGTCACGCACGAGTCTGGTGAGCGTGGGCATTCGAGCATTGGTTAAGCTAGCTATTTACAAGGTGCACCTACAATCCACTCATCCGCTTGGCCAGCAGTGCATACAGTAGACTGCACTTCGTACTGTATGCGTTCATTCGGCAGCGGCAGCGGCGGCAGCGGCAGCAGAGACTCCGACACTACTGTACGTCTCGACTCAGTCTGCGCTAGCGCCTCAAAGAGCATCACAGTCACGTTCACGTTCACGTTCACTGCAAACTTTCCATTCGCGACTCTAAACTCGAGAATCGAGGCATTCTGCAAGGTTCAAAGTCCGATCGACGATTCGATTTGGCCGCCTCGATTCACGATCGGAACGTTGCGCCGTGCATGACGTTGTGCCTTGCCGCGCCCTGCCTTCCTGCTGCTTCCACCGCCAGCTCGGTGACTCGTTCGCCCTGCCTTCCTGCTGCTTCCACCGCCAGCTCGGTGACTCGTTCGCCCTTGGGGTATTTGCAGCGGCAACAAGGCCTCAATAACGGTGCGGATCGCAATTAAGATATGGACGGGACGCGATGAGCTGATGTTTGGTGCGATCCCCATCGCTTTCCTCCAGCGCTACCGCCTCTCCTCTCTTGGCAGGCTCATGGGCGCGTCGGATTGCGCAGTGTGCCTGGCTAATGCAACGAATGCAGCGCCATGCCGAGTCATACCTTTTTGTGCAGCAGCTGCTGCGCTCGGGAGATGATCGCAGAAGGTGGGCCGCAAGGTGTGCGTCTGACGCCATTTCTCCAATGCACTCACAGCCTTAGCTGACACACAGGCCACTCGGTACCGCAGCGGGTGTTGTACAAGTTTGTATAAATGACCTCCGGCTCGATTCGGTTGGATGCCAGTACGTCTTTCTCGCCCTTTTGCCCCATCCATGTCCTCCTTGCGGAGCGATCGATGCCATTCGTACGTCTTATAAGCAGACAAGTAAAACCAAGCACACCTCACACTTACGTCCTTGGCGCGCAGTCGTATCGCTAGTCAGGCCCCAGTCAGAGGAACGCGGACAGAGCGCGAACAGCCCAGATCAGCCTTTGTAGCACCGACAATCGTGATTGTCTAGGTGGTCACGACGCGGGCATTTGGGGGGGGACTGGCTGCTATCCTCGATCTCAGCCAACAAAGTGGATTGTTGGCCCGCGCGCAGAGCAGCAGCAGCCGCACATCCACCACCCACGGCCATAGCTACGGTCTGCCGGAAGGCCTTGCGTGGACCGACGCCTTGTTGCGCGCACGCACGCACGCACGCACGCATGCATGCGCATGCATCTATAGCAGCATCCAGCAGCACGCACCTCGATCTTGGAAGAGCAAGAACATGCCCCGCGTCCCGTCTCACGCCGCGTCTTGGCAAGCGTCGCGGCGCAAAGATGTGCCTTCGTCAGCATGGTCCATGAGCGCGACCGCGACCGCGACCGCGCTAGCCGCTCCGCACGCCGACGCACCGCATCAAAAGGGCGGGACAAAAGGCAAAGGCTCGAGTCCGCGTAGCTCGACGCACAAGAGCGCGCTGAATGTGAATCACAGCGCTGCACGGCTTGATGCCGCTCTAGCAGCAGCAGCAGCAGCAGCAGCAGCAGCAGACTTTGAACAGGTTACTCGAACTCCTTTTATGGGTGAAATGTTTTCCGACTCCTCTTACGATGGCTTTTCTGATATGCTGGGCCAACCTTTCTTGCAAAACGCTGGCAGTACCGCGCAACAGCTTTCCCCGCAGCAGCAGCAGCAACAGCAGCAGCAGCAGCAGCTGTCACATTCAGGCTCGAGCAAAGACTTTGCTACTTCCTCATCTGCCAACCAGCAGGACGCGCACAGGGCCTCCGATACGGCACCGGCACCGGGATCTGGCGACGCTTGGACGTTTGGCGTGACCAACATGCATTCGTCTGCGCGCACCACCCCCTCGCACAGCCGCCAGGCCAGCCAGGATGGGACGGAGGACGGCGAGGTGGCGAAAGGCGGCAGCAACACATCAACCAACGCTCGTCAGAGCGCTTGTCCGTTCTGCGATCGAGTCTTCAAACGCAGCGATTTGGCATTGCGTCACATTACCCGCGTCCGTGAGTCACGAGTCTTGGCCTGTATGACTGGGCGCCGGTCCGGGCGCACGCTCATCGGGCCTTTTTATATCGCGCATCTCTTTTCCGCGCTGCGTTTTCATCTCTCCATCTCTCGCTCGCTGCCTCTTGTGTGCGCGCACCCGGGCGCCCGTAAAGACTCCTCTTCCACAGCTCATAAATGCAAGCATTGTGATGTCGGATTTTCACGCTCGTGAGTCGGGAAACGCGTAGCCCAGACTCGTCGTCGGTAGCCGGAATACAGACCACAGTGCTGTTCGTGCTCATCCTGCCTCTTCATCTGGCCCTTTGGCTGTCTTGCAGGGACGTACTGAAGAGGCACATGACTACCTGTCGAAAAGGTCCTGGTGGAAAGAGCCTCAAGCCTATGAAGAAGGCTTGTGAATCGTGTGCTTCACTAAAGATAGTGTGCGATCGCCAAGACCCATCCTGCGCTTCGTGTAGGGATCGTAATATCCAGTGCATATACAAGCCCAGCGCTAAACTTGTGCGCACAAAGTCCCCAGTCAGAGCGTTGTCGGATGAAGAAATTCCAATGGCCAAGGAAGGCTGTGCGACCCACCATACCTCCGATGGCCACTTTGAGGACCAGCATAGCAGCTCCTCACGGCAGCAACACGCACCACCCTCTCTGCAGTCACCCGAAACCTCTCAGCCACAACCAGTGGGTCCAGTAGTGAGCCACCCTCCGGCCGCCGTTTCGAGATCTGTGCATCAGTCTGGCATGCCAGCCTATGACTCGGCACTAGTCATGCCTAGCTTTGCCGATGCTGCTGGTGCAAGCGTGTGGAGTGGCCCTGAGCAGAACATCCCAATGGACGTGAATGGTGTTCCTGCCACAGCAGCGCTGACGATGGATCTCGGTCAGAATGTACACTCGCAAGACCAGGCAATGCAAGACTGGTCGCGTGAATTGCATGCGCCCGCCGCGTTTGCATACGCCACCTCGGGTGCAAGCGTGCCACCCTTGCTAGCCCCTCAGCAGGTCGCAGCAGATGCGAGCCTGTCCATGCCCATGATGGACATCATACACTCGACTGGCCTTACTCCATACGACGTGGGTATCGATGCAAAGATGAACCAAAATTCGCAAATTGCTCCCGTCGCCTCCACCAGCGGTAGCATCTCGGGCTACCCGCGCACAGCGGATGTTGAGCAAGGCCAGGAACAAGCGCTTCATCTGAGCGACGTTCTCCTAGGAAACGCACCAGCCTCTTCCCTCGCATCCGAGACTGATACTCGCGGCCACGACGACGGTGGAAGTACAAACTTCCCCTTTAGCGGTCTGGCGCCAAGCATTGAAGGCGTGACTGGAGGATCTGAAGAAGCCTCACTGCTCGGCTTCTTGCACCACGACGACTTTTTCGCGCGGGTGCAAAGCCCCTTGTCAGACTTGCTGGTCGCGGGCACACCATCTTTCTTGCCGCCTGGCGCCGACACGAGCCGACTTACACAGCCAGAGCACCACATTTGGCCTGTCATGCCTTCTGCAAGGTGAGCAAGCGATGGCAGCGTTGATGTCGCAGCCGCCGTGGTTGACGCGTTGCACGCCGTGCCCTCCTCGCCCTTTCTCATCGCTTCTCCAATCTCCCGCAAAGCGCCAATCTGTCGCAAGCTTTACTGGATTTCGAGGTTCAAGCTCTTGCATGCGGCCTCACCTCACCTGCGCTCAAGCTCAGCGTCAACAACTTTTTTGGTCGCTTCATTTCTCAATACCCACTCGTGCACCTCGCCACTTTCGACTTTGCCAACTGTCCCGGAGAATTTGCGCAATGCGCGCTCATTGTCGGTTTGAGGTTCGACGAGTCCGATGCAGCACAGCGCTTCAGTACAAAAATGCTCATGACCTCGGGCGAGCGAATCACGTCTGCATTCTTAGAAGTGAGCTTACTGGGACTTGTGGCAGGTCATGGTCAGATCCGCACCCCTCATCTGACCTCACTCGCTTCAAATCTTTGCCTGTTCAGTCTGAAACGCGTCAAGATTCTTACGTTGCTCTCCTCATCGCTGGGCTGCTGGCGCTCAAGTTCAGCTGCTTCTCGAGCACGAACGCCAAATTGCAGTTGACGAGCCGGCTGCTGACCGGCAACCTGATGTCCTTGCTTCAAGTCACCAATTTTGGCGCCGCAGCCTGGCCGCACGATCAGCACTCTCCAGAGCTGTGGCACGCGTGGGCCTTGAACGAATGGAAGAAGCGGTGAGCTCGTACGGCATGTCCACAATGCGCCCGCAAGTTCGACGGATACTGATGCATCAAATGTGTCAATCGACCCCCGTCTTTGCGCCCAGCTTGGTGCTTCTGACATCGGTCGAAGATGCTGCCCAAATGATCTTTTTCGGTCACTCGTTTGGAATGCAGCGCTCGATGATAGAATCGATGAGGATGCCGTACGCCTCTGAGATATGGAACAAGCCGGATGCCCACTCTTGGGCCGAAAGCATGAGGACGCTTGCGGACGCGCCACCTACACTTCCTCAGGCGCTATCCACTCTCGCCTCGCCCAAGGCTGCTTTGAGGCCCGGCCTCGCGACACCATTTTCCATGTGGATTCTGATACACATCCAAGTCAATAGTGCTTGCAACGCGCTACGTTTGGCACAGTCCGCGGTCAAAGCACACGCCGCCGCAACAGCCAAGAACGCAACACAGGTCCACGAAATGCAACGCCAGGGCAGCACTGCATCATCGGACGCCTCTGCTCTCGGCACCTCGGCGTCGAGCGCGTCGACGCCGTGGTATCCATCCAAGACGACGTCTGGCCGGCCCACCACCGTCACCGGGAATATGGACCAATTGTCCCCCAGCACGCAGCAGGCGCTGCTTGTAAAGCTCGAACAGCTTGTCATCTCGCTCGAACGGTGGAGAGTGCATTGGGTGGAGGGCGAAAGAGCGGGCTTCGATTCCGAGGCATACCGAATGGCCCCTCAACGATTCATCTTCGATGCGGTGCCTTTCGTGGCGCTGTGCACCGCCTTTATGAGGCGGACGATGCGCGTGCTCAACAGTGGAGGAAATACAGAGGGCCTTAGACCGCGCCTGAATGAACTCGACAATTGGGTCGCTTTGACCACATGCTCCAATCCGACCGAGCACTCCAACGAGTCGGCTCACGATATGAACATTGACGGGGGCGAGGCCTGTACGACGCCGGACGTGGAGGAGAACCCAGACGAGTCGTGGGCCAGCAAATATTTGCAAAGCTTGCGGGCTTCCAGAGCGGAGAGGAAAGGCAAGCTTTTAGCCAGGTCCACCTCTGCCCCTGCATCTGATTCCACGGACGCATCTGCGTCTGCGAGTGCGAGTGCAGCTTCCAGGCGACCCTCCATCCATCCCTTGTGGCTCATCGAGGATCTAGCCATCGCTGAGCCGGCCAGGCACGATTCAGGCTGACTCCACCGCGCAGTCCTTTTCTTTCCTCTCTGTGCAATCTCGACATTGCCACGCCTCTCGCCCCTCTCGCCGATGGCCAACAGCTTGCGAAGCTGTGATTCTTCTCCTCTCTCTCTCTCCATTTCCAACAAATTTGGCTGACAGGTGCTCTCGCGGACATTCCAGCTCCACGGTGCCCCTAACTTATCGCTAGCGGGCCAGTGTGTGCGCCTTCTTTCAAAAAATCTTGGCGCTGTACTTCATCTGTTCAATTTGTACACAAGCTCTGTTGAAATAGAACAATGTTTATTTCTATGTGCAGGCCCCGCTGGCTTTCCTTGTGCGCCTCGTCTCATGGCGCCTCTTTGAATGTGGTCGACATCGAACTACGACGCAAATTGTCAGCACGAATGCGACGGACGTGGCAGTCCCATTGCAATCTCTTGCGGGCCTTGCGGCCTTTGCTCCGGGCATTCCAAACACTACAAAGACATTCACGATTCACGAGTGTCAGGGGGCTCACGATTCGAGGGCGGCGGCGGAGTGAATGCGGGCCAATCGATTGGGCCGTACAATGGTGGGGGGGGTCCTGTGAAAGACCGTTTTTGGTTTGTTGTTTTTTTTGTGTGTTTTGTTCGTTTTTCTTTCGAAAGAGCGTCCGTTCGCTTCGCTC